TCGTAGTATCTTCACATATGTCCGTAAGCAGCACGACTACCATTACCTAAACCTGCACGTCCGCGTAATTAAGGGTGTCCACTTTAGCGGCTTCGCATCGCAAAATCGAAAAAAAACAGACGTAGCAGACCTTACCCATGGTGGTAGTATCTGTTATATATGTTTGTAAGCAGTGCCGTCAGCAAGCAGGTGACGTTGACTTTGTCAAGAAATAAAACAACAAACGAAAACAGCAGCATTCAAGTGTGATCTGACCTTTACTCCTAACCCTACCACTGCTAGGGGGTTTAGTTTACATTCAAGTGTTTCTAAATTGCGACCGTGACCACTATTCAACTCTGAGAAATTTAGATCGGACGGCAGGAACTATACACCGGAACCTACATTCGCTGGGGGGGGGGTGTCTCTAGCTTCTGCGTATTTTTTATCGTGGCCACAGTTCGGTTGTGAAATGTGTTTTTTTTTTTTTTTTTTCCTTTTCTACTTGTGGTTTAATTAACATCAGTGATTCAGTGACACTTCCGAGCCAACTTTTTCCCGGGTGCAAAATGGCTGGTGTGGCAAATAACAACGATTAGGAACCGACGTGGCCTTGTTTTTGGCCAATGTCGCCAACCACTTTTAGTCGGTGGATGAAATATTGAAACTTGCTCCCTCACACACGCCGCTTCGGATTAATTTGGCAGACAAATGTTCTGGAAACCACCAGTACCTCCTAAAAGTGCTCCGCGTTGTCGGGCGCATCGGTCCGGCACCGCACGGGGGCAGCGCGGGACCCTCCCGACCGCGTCACGCAGGAGTTGGTTTTAAAACCCTTCGTTGCAATATACATGGATCTTCCACAAGCCGCTCCGGCCGGGTGCGCCAGCCATACCTCTCACGACAGGATAGGGCCTACGCGAGGCACGACTTACCTACACCTTACGGGAGCTGTCACCTCCCTTCGGTGGGCGTATCCCCGCCGAGCTACCGATCCACAGTACGAAAGCTAATMAGTTGCAATCGCMGAGGTGGACCAGCYGRGGGCGTTTCTCGTTCGYTGTAGCATAGGGGGTACGCGCGGTAATACGCCTCTATCGGACCCGCACGCGAACCGACATCTTGGGGGGGCTGAGGTCCCAAGCGCGATTCATCGTCGGTCGACTAGGACGCATCCCACACACCACGCGCACTCCACTTTACGAACACACGTACACACAAAATAACATATATACGAAACGATACAATACCAACAACACGACAACGCTCCTAGCCCCTCGGTAGCCAACCCATAACTTTCCAATGCGGAAATCGGATAGGCGTCGCGCGCTGAACTTAGTATAAAACCACGCGAATGCAGGGCTATTGCATATCAACTCGCAATGCAGGCGTACACAAGCAGTCGCAACGATGACGTACTATGTAGTGCCAATAATCAAGCGGTCCCTCGTGGATCCGAGTACCGCTTATGAAACTCAAGTGTCAGACTTGAAGTGTCGTGAGGGCCTAACCCTTCATGACATTGCACGACTGAAGGAATAGTCGTGCAGCCGCCGCAATACCTCGGGCTCTTGGCCTGAGTGTCTTGGTAGGCAAATCAAATAGGCTCTGCGCGAGGGAAAACCCCTCCCCTGCAGAGTCTAGGGCTTGGGGTGTCCTGGACAAGGACCTCGAATCCCAGTCCAGGACCAGACGTCCGACTAAGAAAATCATCAAAAAGCAGGAATAAAAATGGAAGTAGGGGTCTCCCCTAAGTTCCTCTGTCCCAGCTTCTGAGTGGGGGTTTAATATGAGGATTCTTCAACCCATGCAAACATTCATCCCAAGTATACCCATGTATACGTATATAAGGGTTAAGTATGTGACGATCACTTTTCACGGTCTCACTGGGGTTTCTCACAATAATACGTATATGTGTGATCGCAGRCAACCAAATCCAGAGTCTGACTCACAGCAYATACCTGCAGTCACATCAACRAACCAAATCAAYAACCCACACATTACACGGAGTCAATCCCAACCACCTTCGACACTCATACCCCTCGCTTTAGCCATACAAGCCCCAAAACCTCCTGTCCAACCAACCTTAAGTAAAATACTCAGTACCTTTGTTAAATGGCCATTCAATAAAAGTCCGGGTGAAACCTTAATAAAATAACGAAATCACCAGGGCTAAAGCCTTTTAGGTTGAGTGTAGAGGGAGAGTTGAAATTGAGTCGTAGACCGACGAATCGGCAACCGACCTGTTATCAGTGATAACAGTAAGTGATCCTCAAGGGATCAAGCTGGATCTAGACCTGAACTTAGATCAAATGATCAAAAGGACCTGTAACACACGACAGACCAATTTCCAAGCTAAGATCATAAGTGYATGGAGAATACAACTCCATAATACATCCTCACTCAAAACCTCCTTATAAGCTAAACCTAAGGCTACTTTTAAGTCAGTGTTTAAGCCAAAGGTAGACCAACTGCAAAATCTCCCCTATTCTGGGTGGATCGCCTGAATCACCTGTCAAAATATAATCTATCTCCTCTAAACTAAGAAAATTTTGGCAGCGTTTTCCGTAGAAAAAGTGTCTTTCCCTAATTTATATAAGCCGAGATATGAAAACAAAAATAATCTCTAACTCGTGGAAAGTCAAATTTTGTTTAACTCTCTGAATTAGTAGAAATTTGGGCAGCACTCCCTTTAGAAAGAGAGATGTCCCAGATTTATACTAAGTCAGGTATAAAAACAGAAATAATCTTTAACTCTGGAGAATCAAATTATGTCTAACTCTCTGAATTAGTAGAAGTTTGGGCAACACTCCCTTTAGAAAGGGAGACTTCCCAAATTTATACTTAGTCAGATATGAACTCGAACAATAGCTCGAGCTCAACTTGAGACTGAATTTAATTAACTCCTTAATTTTGTAGAAATTTCGCCAGCACTCCTTCTAGAAAAGTGTTATTCCAAAATTTATACAAGGCTAAGTTCAGAATTTTGAGAATAACTTTGACTTCTCAAAGTCCAATTTTGTCTAACTCCCTGAATTAGTAAAAATTTGGGCAGCACTCCCTCTAGAAAAGAAGACTTTCTAGATTTATACTAACCCATATATGGAAAAGACAAGCTGAACTCTGACAAGTCAAAAGTTGATTAACTTCTTGGATTTGTAGAAATTTCGGCAGCGCTTCCCGTAGGAAAAATAGCTTGCCAAGATTTATACAAAACCAAGTATAAAAAAAAATCTCAGAAAATGCAGGTTTTGACCTAAGTAAAAAAACGTTATTACAGAAAATGCAGGAATCGACACTAACTCCTATGACTCTAGCATGTGGCGAGCAACTACAGCAACTACCTATAGTAATGAAACCCAAACAAACTAGTCATCTCATCCAGTCACATGCAAACCAAACCACGAATGTAAGTACTCTCACCATCCCAAGTTCATTCCATATAAATAGTTCGTGAATCTTCAAGTTCTTGAATCCTTATACCCATCTTACATAAGACATAGAGCTGGACCATTCGCCATGAAAACAATGCCCAACTTGTCTTTATGATATACACGAACAGGTTGCACAACTATTTTTTTTTTCTTCTTTTGGGCAGATGACTAGGCCATTCGCCATGGAAACAATGCCTAGTGACCCTGAGCTGTTTAATATCCAAAGATTTAGTATTTCTCTGACTTTGTTTTCAAAAGAAAAAACAAATATGGGCAGGGGACTGAACTATTCACAGTAGAAACAATGTTCAACTTGCCCAAACTATTTTCATTTATACTTTGTATTTTCCTTTTTCTCTTCTTAATGATATGGCTTAACGCTGGACCATTCACAGTAGAAACAATGCCCAGCTGCCAGTTCACATGCAAATATACATAAAATACTTTCCTTTATACTTAGTTTAAATTATGTGCGTGATTTTCAGGCTAAACCATTCACCATGGAAACAATGCTTAGCCTTAGACAAAAAATCCTCCTTCAGAATAAACAAGAATTTAAACCCCTTCAATCAGACAACCCTCAGAGCTAACTAAGGTAGCCAGGCTATTCACAGTAGAAACAATGTCTGGCTCCCCAGAAAACAATCAAATAAACACAGCGATCAGACCATTCACAGTAGAAACAATGCCTGGTCCTTCATAAAACATCCAAATAAACATAGCCCTGAGTCATTCACAGTAGAAACAATGCTAAGGCTTTGGTTGACCCGGTCAAACGCATGCAGTCTACCTTTCTTCCACCTTCCCCCAATTCATCCTTAGTCTGCTTTCAATCAGAACAAAGTAGAAACTTAGGCTGCACTCTCACACATTCTTTCCAGTCAGTCTGATTAGGTCCTGAAGAGAAAGCAAAAACCATAGGGACAAACGCATGCATACAACAATCATACTGCAGGGAGTTATGCAAACATGGGTAGTAGTGGGGTTTATACAGATAAAGATGATTTATCTGAAGGTTCCCTGCCTCCAGAACTCCTCCTGAGTTCCGGCAGAGCTCCCGCAATCGGTGGGTGGACTCCCCACAGAGTCTTGACGCGGACTTATGGGTTGCAATCCCGCCTGCCGCCTTCCTCTCGTAACCAAGGACTAGACTGAGAGTAAGAAGGGCAGAAAAAGAAGGATGTGAGTCTCTCAGATCCAAGAGGGGTGCACTCAAACTTGTAGGAGAGGGCCTTAATATCTTCGCAATGGTGGCCAAAAGCTCAGCTGCTTGGTCAACACCGAGTCGACTGCCGAAGTCAACCTCTGACGACTCCCCAAGTTGCAGCAATAACCCCTCTCTCCGACGCTCGGTCACCCCTCCAAGTCCGTCCACTGTAGCATCGCAGGCTGCCATAGACAGTCGTAATCAACAGCAGGTGTCAACGGCAAGCTGCCACCATCGACTGGCCACAGCCTGTGAACAACTAGCAGCCGCGCACACTCAACAACAAGCTGCTTGTGTGCAGTCCGCGGCAACAGCACCTCGCAGCAAACGGTCTGGGCGCAATCTGCAGTGTGATCTATGCCTGACCCACAACGATAGGAGTGATTCGTGCTTAGTTCACAGTAGCAGCTCCTGACAACCGTTAGCAGCGACAGCAGCAGCAGCTAGTAGACATGACTCATACACTTTCAACAGTACCAGTGGTACACCGCGGCATAGCAGACAGCAACAATGGTTTTCCGCGGCTCGCAACCCACAACCTGTAGTCCGCTGATCCCGCAGACTCCCGCCAACCCAGGTACGTGCCTTCGCATCATCACCAATGAAATCAAGAAAGAGCTCTCAATCTGTCAATCCTTGCTATGTTTAGACCTGGTGAGCTTCCAGCACGGCCACTTCAGTAGTCCAATAGCCAACGACCCGTAGCTGCAGCAACTCAAGTGCTGCTAACATCGGACTGAGTTGACATCAGTAACTAAGTCTCGTTTTTGCGGAAACGCAGCACAGGAAGTGAGTAACAACTGCCTCAGCCTTAACTCAGAGCCATTCCAGAGGGGTCAGTCACATTGACTCCTCTGTGGAGCTCCTTCGTAGCTCAGACGAATCCCCCCCCTAGATCGGATGAGACGTTGCGGTTCTTACCTCCGGGCGTCAAGAGGTAAGGAGATGCTACTTCCGCTGTTGCCCCGTGCATGTGCCGGCCAACCGGTAAGCTCCCAGCCCCGCGACACGCTTCAGTCCACGCCAACTGAAAGGGGCCATGCCGAAATCGGATGGATCTTCCACTAGATCATGGGCATATACACCCACTGGTGCTGCCCACTGTAACGCCTGTCCTATGCAGACACAACTCGACCAGGTAAGTGATCTTTCCTCCCCCTCTCTCTCTCTCTCTCTCTCTCTCTCTCTCTCTCTCTCTCAGATTGGCTGCTCCCAAAGGTATGAACCGCCTGCTATAACCCGACTTGATACCTCGTGCCTCCCCCAAGCGGCATCGGCAGTGGCGTTGGCAGCGAGGTGAGTCGAACTGTTCCCATCGACTTGCCCAGCGCTACTCCCATCGACA